TGCGAGCAAATTTTTCGAACTTCTGCGACAACGGTTGCGCACCTGCCAGGGCCATCATCCCTGTCAAATAATACCATGCGGGACCCATTCGTTTTTTCTTCGCGCGCGCACGCCGTCGTCGTCGGCCGCGGGGCCCTGAATAGTAGCCACGGTCGTCCGCATGCCACGAAGTGAAGTGTCCGAACGTCATAGGGCGGAAAGCTGGGTGTGGGTGGTGGCGAAGAGTCGTTTGGAAATTTGGTAGAGCTTGAACCGGCCCCCCCACAAAGTGGGGGTATTGCCCGACTCCTATGAAAACCCTGGCACTGGTGAGAACGGAGTGTCCCCACGTGCTAGTAATTGTTGTTGTTGTTGTTGTTGTTGTTGATCTAATTTCTGAAGAATAATTTATTTGGTGACACACCCCCCACCGTGCATACTGTTTTTTTCGAATCAAAAAAATAAAAGAAAAGAAAAAAATAAAAAAAAAAAAATAAAAAAAAAAAAAAAAAATAACAAAAAAAGAAAAAATAAAAAAAAAATAAAAAAAAAATAAAAAAAAAAAAAATAAAAAAAAAAATAAAAATAAAAAAAAAAGTGTGCCCCTCGACGCTCGCACCCTGTTTTTTGACAGGGGAAGTCTTCCTGCTCAAACTGGCCCCCTGGCCCCCGGGTTACAACAACAACGGCTCCCGCCTGAGACTTCCTTACAATTTAGCCAGGACCCCCGCTCCCGCCCGAGACTTCCTCGCATTTGATTTAGGAATCGCTCTCTCGTTTGGGACTTCCTTACAATTGATTCAGGAATCGCTCTCCCAGCGCTCTGGAATCGCGCTCTCGCTGGAGACTTGCTTGCAATTTACTGAAGAATGGCCTTGCGTTAGAATTTCTTGCAATTTGCCCAAGCGCCGCGCTCCCAACACCCAGGTACCCAGGAGTCGCGCCCGTTGTGGCCCCATGTGCGTGCCCTTCGTGGCCCCGCTGTCGCCCTTCGTGTCCCCCTCACTGTCCCACGTGGCCCAGTTGCTACCCTCAGTGGCCCCATAGTTGCCTTCTGTGGCCCCGCATTATTTGCACTTCGTGGCCCCCGCTCGTTCGCGCTCTTCGTGCCCCATACGCAATCCCCTCGTGTCCCCGTTTTCGCCACTTCGTGGCCACTTTTCCTTCGTGGCCCTGCTGTCGTTCTCTCTCGCTCTCGCTTTCGCTCGTCGTCGCCGTCGTCGTCGTCGTCGTCGTCGTCTTCGACGTCGTCGTCGTCGTCGTCGTCGTCGTCGTCGTCGTCGTGGTCGGTCCCCTGTCCGTCCCTCTTGGGGTCGGGTCGACGGTCCGCGGCCGCCCCGCCGATCAGCGCTGCTGCTGGCCAGGCCGACGGTCCGCGGCCGCCCCGCCGCTTGCCGGGGCCCGTCCTGCAGGGAAGAAAGGTATACCCCCCAAAAAAGGTTCGAGCGAAGACGAAGAGGGCGGGTATCGAGGGTTTGGGAAATACGCGTTATATCGCGTTATTGGACACTGGAGCATATAAGGGCGAACGGTCTTTAATTTATTGAACATTATTTCTTCTAAAGAATAATTATTGTTGGGGCCCCTGGTGCGCGGCCCCCTCGCCGCGCCTAGGCCGCAGCCATGTTTTCATCATTTTCGTGAGGAAGTCTCCGGCAAAACGGGTTGGTCCGGATCCGGTTTTTTTGTTACGGGCGGTTTTCCCTTGCAAAAAATAAGGCAAAGTGGACATTTCTTGTTCTAACATAACCAAACTTCAAGAATCCCTTGCAAAAAATTTAAGGTAAAAGTGGACATTCGCGCGCGCAAGAGCAAATCCCTTCCAAAACCTTGAGTTTTTTTCGTGTTACGTAATAGCGATTTTAACAGAGGGGCATCAAAAAATAATTGGGGGGATTGGGGGTTTTTTCAAAAATAAAAAAAATGTCGAAATTCAATACCCGCGCGCTCTGCGGATTCGTAGGAAACCCAACACTTTTTAATCATTTCTGTCAAGCGGGCTTTGGCGAGCAACTTTTTCGAACTTCTGCAACAACGGTTGCGCACCTGCCAGGGCCATCATCCCTGTCAAATAATACCATGCGGGACACATTCGTTTTTTCTTCGCGCGCGCACGCCGTCGTCGTCGGCCGCGGGGCCCTAATAGTAGCCACGGTCGTCCGCATGCCACGAAGTGAAGTGTCCGAACGTCATAGGGCGGGAAGCTGGGTGTGGGTGGTGGCGAAGAGTCGTTTGGAAATTTGGTAGAGCTTGAACTGGCCCCCCCACAAAGTGGGGGTATTGTCCGCCTCCTATGAAAACCCTGGCACTGGTGAGAACGGAGTGTCCCCACGTGCTAGTAATTGTTGTTGTTGTTGTTGTTGTTGTTGTTGTTGTTGTTGTTGTTGTTGTTGTTGCTCGGGGGCCAGGGGCGCAATTTGACCTTGCGACTTTCCCTGATTGAAAATATGGCGCGAGCCCCGGGGAAGCACTTCCCCCCCCCCCCCCCCCCCCCCCCCCCCCCCCCCCCTCCCCCCCCCCCCCCCCCCCCCCCCCCGAAAAAATATAATTTAAACCCCAATTGAAAAAACACAATGGTCACCGGAGGGGGGGATCAACAACAATCAAAGTGAGGGGGCCGGGCGGTCATTCATTGTCCCTGGGTGCGTGGGTGAAAAAGAAACTCAAGGTGAGAATTATGTTTGTTGCGTTGCTGTTGTTGTTGTTGCTGATGTTGTTGTTGTCGTCGTCGTCGTCGTCGAATGCGAATTACTAAACACTTGTTATCGTTGAACACCTTAAGGGTGCTCTGGCGCTCTCGCCGAGGCGCCGGCTACATTGTCATTGGAAATAAAGCTCACGCTCGAACGGTTTGGGGGGCCGCCAAAACTGGCCCCCAAACAACAACAACAACAACAACGAAAACTAAGGTTTTGGAAGGATTTCGTCTTGCGCGCGCGAATGTCCACTTTACCTTATTTTTTGCAAGGGATTCTTGAAGTTTGGATATGTTAGAACAAGAAATGTCCACTTTAGCTTATTTTTTGCAAAGGAAAACCGATCGTAACAACACAACCGGATCCGGACCAACCCGTTTTGCCTGAGACCTCCTCACGAAAATGATGAAAACGTGGCTGCGGCCTAGGCGCGGCGGGGGGGTCGCGCACCAGGGGTCCCAACAATAATCATTCTTAAGAAGAAATAATGTTCA